CAACATGGTAATCAAAGCGAACCCACATATATCCAAGAAGCAGGCATGTGGTAAGGGAATTATTCTTACAGACACACATCCCGCATGTGTCAAAGGTAAATCCGGGTCCAGGATAATGTTAACAAAACTTGTTTATCCATAAAGTCATGGCAAGAGAATCCTTCTGCCATTGCTCGTTTCAGTGGGGGTTCTAAAGTGTCAGGGAGCACGTTTCATTGACTAAGAAGTAACTACTGTGTCCTTGAAAATGGATCTACAAGGGTAGGATCAGTGGGGTGAAGGGAGCCTCACGGGTCTTCCGGAGCATTTGCACATCCCCGGGTGGCTGCAAGGGGGCGAGGGAGCAGTTTGGGGACATTTCAAAAGAGGAAAGGGCGGAGGGTGTTCTGTGGCAGCAACTTCCTGGAACAAGTGGGGGGTCGACAGGATGACAGTAGTCAAAGTGTCATCATGGTTCTTGGGAGGGTGGGGGGTGGCTGCTTTCCCTGCAGAAAGTTCCTCGCGTGATCATCAAGTTTAAAATCATTACAATTTTAGCGTTGAAGGTTATCTTAAAAGTCATCTGCCCGTTTTGACCCACCACCCGTGGTCTTCACCACCCAAGTGCATTCAATGAATGGAAAACCTCCAAAACAGGGGGATCTGGTGTCTAAGCCTCAGGTTTCGGCAGAAGCAGAACTAGAAGTCTTTCTGGATCCCAGCACTGTGAACAGAACCACCACGCTTCTCAAAAATAAAACAAGAAGGAAAACAATGAAAAATTGTTGCCAGTAGCAACCTAGCCAAGTTCTAGGTGGGCTCAAAGGATACCCCCTGCTTCCTTACTCACAGAGGCCTGGCCCAGAGTTATGGGGCTCAGGGGCTCTGGGCTGCGGAGGAGCCTGAGTCCCTCCCCAGCAAAGGGGGGAGAGTCCTCAGTTGGTCCAAATCAGCCAATTCTCCAGATCTCATTCTCGCCAGTGAACATGAGGGAAAAGTGGGAGGGAATCTGGAAAAGAAGGTTCGAGGGGTTTTTTTTAGGAGCTGCTGGGAGTGGTCTTCTCTGCCGTGGGACACGGGTGAGGTTTTGTTTCCCGTGTGGCTTATATAACTTGGCAAGAGGAACTGAAAGTCAAAATCTCCCTTCTAATATGTTATCCTATAGAATCAAGGTATTTAGGAAAGAATAAAATGAACACATTCCAAGACGTATTGGCTTTTTTTGTTTTAATAAAAGCCAAGGATGGGAAATGTCCCAAGTCTCCAAAAGCAAGGTGACCGGGCCCCCCAACCTATCCACACTTAATGGGGTGTCTTATGTAGCCCCCACACTTATTTAAAAATTTTTTTACTGTTTTTTATTGATTTTTGAGAGTCAGAGAGCGCGCGAGCAGGGGAGGGTCAGAGAGAGATACAGAATCTGAAACAGGCTCCAGGCTCTGAGCTAGCTGTCAGCACCGAGCCCACCGCGGGGCTTGAACCCACCAACCGTGAGATCATGACCTGAGCTGAAGTCAGACTCTTAGCCGACTGAGCCACCCAGGCGCCCCATTTATTTATTTTTATATATTTATTTTTTCTTAAATAGTTTATTGCCAAGTTGGTTTCGATAGAACACCCAATGCTCATCCCCACAAGTGCCCTCCTCCATGCCCATCACCCCCCTTCCCCTCCCCCCCAGCCCTCAGTTTGTTCTCAGCATTCAAGAGTCTCTCATGGTTTGCCTCCCTCCCTCTCCCCAACTATTTTTCCCCTTCTCCTCCCCCATCGTCCTCTGTTAAGTTCCTCCTAGTCCTCCTATACATGCAAACATATGGTATCTGTCCTTCTCTGCCTGACTTATTTCGCTCAGCATAACACCCTCAAGTTCCATCCATGTTGCTACACATGGCCAGATTTCATTCTTTCTCTTTGCCATGTTGTATTCCATTGTTTAGATATACCTTATCTTCTTGATCCATTTTTCTTTTGATGGACACTTAGGCTCTTTCCATGTTTTGGCTATTGTTGAGAGTGCTGCTATGAACATTGGGGTACATGTGCCCCTATGCATCAGCAGTCCTGTATCCCTTGGGTAAATTCCTAGCAGTGCTATTGCTGGGTCCTAGGGGAGTTCTATTGTTAATTTTTTGAGGAACCTCCATACTGTTTTCCAGAGGGGCTGCACCAGTTTACATTCCCACCAACAGTGTAGGAGGGTGCCCGTTTCTACATATCTTGGCCAGCATCTAAAGTCTCCTGATTTTGTTCATTTTAGCCACTCTGACTGGCGCCACACACTCTTTATAAGCTACTTTATAATGATGTAAATTGAGGGAAACATAATGCAGATGATTCTTGTCCACACAGATGCAAATTGTACCCTCTAAAGTTCTAAATGTAACCAATTATTACTGTGTGGATATTGGCCGATTTTGCCCATTTTGTGTCTGCTAAGCAAATTCATTTCAGCATTCCTACTGGGCTTATTATATTTTTATTTCCTCTTTGGATTCTCCTTGGAACCAATTAAAACATCTTATTAGTTCTCTTATTAGTGAACAAGTTAAATAAAATCTTTAACATGTTTATTCTGTATCTGAGTCATGATTTGACTTTCTAAAAAAAAAAAAATGATCTTCTAACAAGGTAGTTAAATTTAGTACATTCATTTCATCTTACTTACAGCTCTCTTCAAAATAGCTATGAAGACTGTATGGCACACGAACAATTCCTCTTGATAAAACATTACGTGGAGGGGAAAAAAAACCCAGAATGTAAAATTTGTACTAGGCTGTGATTAGACCTAAAAATTCTAAGTGCCCAGGGCAAGAATTAAAAGGGAAGGAGAAACAAAAATTAAAGTCTGATCTGTTAGTGTGGTAGGACCCTAGAGATTGTTTTTTGAATCCTGATGTTATCTTATTCTGTTCTGTTATACATTAAAACTAAGAGAAGGGCGCCTGGCTGGCTCAGTTGGTAGAGCATGCGACTCTTGACCTTGGGGTTGTAAACTCAAGCCCCATGACGGATGTAAAGATTGCTTAAAAAAAAAAATCTTTAAAAAAAAAAATCTTTAAGGGGTACGTGGGCAGCTCAGTCGGTTAAGCATCTGACTTTGGCTCAAGTCGTGTTCTCATGATCTGTGAGTTCGAGCTCCGCATTAGGCTCTGAGCTGTCAGAGCCCATTTCGGATTCTGTGTCTTCCTGTCTCTCTGCCCTTCCCCTGCTCACACTGTCTTTCAAAAAATAGGTAAACATTAAAAAAAATTAAAAATAAAAATCTTTTAAAAATTAAAAATAAACTAAGAAACAAAGGGCCCATATGAGTTTTGTATTGCTGCTGTAACATTACCACAGTTAGTGGCTTAAAATGACACACATTTATCATTTTTAAAAAAAAAATGTATTTCTGAGAGAGAGAGAGAGATAGCATGAGCAGGGGAGGGTCAGAGAGAGAGGGAGACACAGAACCCGAAGCAGGCTCCAGGCTCTGAGCTGTTGGCACAGAGCCCGATGTGGAGCTCGAACCCACAAACCGTGAGACCATGACCTGAGCTGAAGTCGGACACTTAACCAACTGAGCCAACCAGGAGCCCCACACAGTTACCATCTTAATAGTTCTGGAGGTCCTAAGCCCAAAACGGGTCTCATCGGGCTAAAACCAAAGTGCTATCAGCCAGGCTGGTTCCGTCCAGAGGCCCCAGGGGAGGAATGTTTCCTTGTGTTTCCCAGCTTCTAGAGCGCACCACAGTCCTGGGCTTCTAGGCCCTCTTCCATCCTCAAAGCCAGCAGGGCCAGGCATCTTAAGATGTCTTCCCTCTGATTCCTTAAGACTCTATTCTACTGACCCGCCTACGCAGTCCATGATAACCTCCCACCTCAGGGTCCCGAGCATAATCCCATCCGCAAAGTCCCATTCAGCCTGTAAGATAGTGACAGGCCCTGCCTAATTCTCTGTCGTCTCCAAGTGAGTGTACCACACTGAATGCCAAGTGCAAAAGCACACAGTGCAAGATCGCGTTCAAATTTACTTCCCAACAGGCGGTACTGTAATAGGAACATACAATGACAGTTGCCTCTTGAGGTAGCGTGGGGACTGAGAAAGGGCACAGAGGACTTTCTGAGATGACGGTCATATTCTATAGCTTGACATTGTTTTAAGGGACAAAAGTGTACACAAATGCTAAATTCTAGTATGTATTTAGGGGGGAATGTAGGGACGTCTGCCATTTATTCGGAAAGGTGATCGGAGGGAACGGATTGATAGAGGGCTGGAGAGGCGTGTGATAGCATCCGTTTAGTAACATGTTCGTGGTACAATCTAGGTGGGGGCATATAAATGTCCACTATAAACCTCTTTCATTGTTGTTTGAGAATTTTTATAACGGGATTTTGGAAAAAACAAGCTATGGCCCTGAAATACTGCTCCAGTGACTTAAATAGACAGAGATAGGTTCGGAAAATCGTCGAGGCAACTCCTTGAACAAGCTCTCTGCTTAAAATCTTTCAACCAGGGCAACTTGGGGAGTTGTTCATAAAGGTGTGGGAGCATTACTGATGGTCTCCATCGCAAGGGAGGAGGGGAGAATTACACAGGTGAGGGGCCAGGGAAGCCACCAGCCAGCCTGCCCACATGACAAAGAACCTCTACACCGGGGTCCCCCAAGGAATAGCAGTTCAAAACCCGAATCCTCCCTTTGTAACCCTCCATCAGTGCACAGCAGCACATCCTCAACTGGTTGGTGGCACATTTCTCAGGAACTGGTGTTGAATGAAACGTGATGATGCAGGGCGGGGGGGGGGGGGGGGCGCGGCGGCCGCAGCATGCACTCCCTGATCGTTCCCTCCCATCAATGAAGACACACACCTACCAACCCCCTTTCCCCAGAGGTGCCCACAGGGAAGGATGCCTCTGCGGCGGTTCTTCGGCCAAAACACCACCTCCGACACGGCATCCCCACAGTCACGGCCCCCACCCACACCTGCAGTACCCAAATGGGCCGAAGCGGCACCTAAAAGTAACCACCGTCACACGGAGCTGAGAAAAGCCAGCATAAAGCACTTTTATTGCAATAATAAAACTTGAAACTCATACATAGTGCAGGGAGGTGGGGGTGGGGGGTAGGCAGCAATGATTTCTCTCACCAAATCACTACACAGGACAGCAAAGGGGTGAGAGGGGAGGAGAAGCCAGGGAACTCTGAGATCAGCAGGGGGGTGGGGAAGGGGGGAGCCGGACATCAAACACCAGGAGATGCTGCAGCTGTGATGACCAGCATCCTGTTCCTCAAGACAACACTCAAGGGTTTGTCCTGGCGGCTGGGCTTTCACCGGGTGTTAAGTGTCTTACAAACAGCACCTTCAATTTAAACTTTCAATTAAAGTTCTCGAAATTTAGGAAGTGGTGCCTGGAGAGCTAGGAGATTACAAAAGTCCTGAATATCCGTTAGAAAAACCACAGGATGGGAGAGGAAAAAAACAAAACAAAAAAACCCCCAAAAAACCCATAAAAACAACAAAAAAGCCAGGCCACGAAGAAGGTTTCGGAGGTCCCTGCTGGCCTGGGGAGATACCTGTAGTGTCCAGCATCGCGGTGAGAACCATCTGCTTCCAAAAGGCAGAGAGTGTAAGGGGAGGGTGGGGCAGGGCAGTGGAGGCGAAGGCTCTCCCCCTCCCCATTTCGGTTTTGGGCAGGGCTTTTAATTCAACCCAAGGACATCTCTCAACTTGGAGAGAATTCGGCCCTAGACAGCGCCTCAAATCTGCTATGGCTTTGCAGCGTAGCAGCAAGAATGTTTCATATATAATAGATAAAAATTTCATCCAAAAAAAAATAAAATAAAATAAAGATTCTTGCAACCCTCCCCCCGCCCCCCCCCAATTCCTATTCTAAAATTAACCCATTACTTGTGCTGTTAATACTTGACTAATACTTAAGTGGAAACCTAGATCCAAAAGACTGAAACCAAACCTTCACCCCAAAACGAAAACAAAATAAAATGAGTAACTTGAGGTTTATGGCATATCGTTTAGGTCAACACGCATACGAGGAGATAGGGAAAGAGCGAAAGCCGGGTGACAACACATTCAGTCGGGGTCGATGTTTACACAAAGAGTGTGGAGTGGAACACCAGGAAAAGCTCCATACGGATTCGCCTGTGCGCGTCTGGAGGCGCCACTTCCCTCCACGGCACATCTGTTGGGGACAGAAAATCTGTCAGTTCCAGCAACACTGAGCCCCACGGGCGCGGCGGGGACAGGCACGAGGCTGTCTGCCACATCCAGTCTCCTCCCCGAGAGCTGCAAGTTTTCCCTCGGAACGCGCCACTTCCGCTCCGGCTGGGCTTGGGCCGGATTCCCAGGTGAGCTGTTGCCTCCCTGCCTAAATTGGCAGTGTTTTTTTTTTTTTTTTTTTAACCCAAGGTTATGTTTACCTTGCGGAGGAGAGCAGTGACCGTACAGTTCCCCATGGTCACTGGGTCTCCAGGGCCTGGATGCCGACAGGAATCACCCGGGGGCTTTAACAATTTGCAACTGCTTGTATCCCACTCCCAGTAATTGTGGTTAAGCGGTCGGAGGTGTGGCCCAGGCATCAGGAGGGTTGTCAAAGAGGCTTCCCGGGTGACTTCCACGTGTACAACCCTCGGCTGGCATATCCTTCGCGCTGAAGGGACTTAGACAATATCTGCAGTCTTTACTCATCTCCTCAGACCTCCAACTTTCACACCTGCCCTCGGGCTTTCCAGCAAGAGCTTTGCAAGAAGCTCTGAGATGTTCGTTGGCAGCGTGTGGGGAGGTTGAGGCCAGGGTGACTTGCAGCCCTCTCTCCCTTCCTCCCCCTCCCTCCACCCTACCAGATTTACAGAACGCCGGTACCCAAATCAGGATAATTCCAAGGCTCTCCTCAAATACTTTTAGGTCCAAAGGGCTCAGCTCTCAGAGAACAGATGAGAGGGTTTAGATTAGGTATAGACCTTTGGGCAGACAGAGGCTTCTATAAGGAGCTCCCTCCTGTAAGAATGACAAGTATAGAAGCCAAGGTCAGCAAACCTGCCCAGGCCTGTATGACCCACGTATGTAGGGCTAAAACCACAGCGAGAGAAAAAGAGCTTAAGAATTTCAAAAGCGCGGGGCGCCTGGGTGGCTCCGTCGGTTAAGCGTCCGACTTCGGCTCAGGTCATGATCTCACAGTTTGTGGGGTTGAGCCCCGCGTTGAGCTCTGTGCTGACAGCCAGCTCAGAGCCTGGAGCCTGCTTCAGATTCTATGTCTCCCTCTCTCTCTGACCCTCCCCTGCTCACGCTGTCTCTCACTGTCTCAGAAATAAAACAGTAAAAAAAAAAAAAATCTTTAAAAAAAAAAGAATTTCCAAAGCGCTTGTCCTTAAAGAAGTCCACAGCAGGCCAAGGTTAGACCATAACAGACAGGCTAGCAGCCACCTGTGACAGCTCTCGATCAAAAGCACTCTCCCTCAGGCCCCAGTTGTGGTCCTCTGGTCCAAGGGCCAGGAGGGGGGCCAAAGGAGAGGTCTGGGGCCGACTGGAAAGAAGATGACACCATTCCTGGGTTTTACGATCCTGACACCCACATGAAAAACCAGTCCAGGAAGGGGTTCTGGTGCTAGTTTGCCACTGTCTGGAAGTGACCTCGAGGAAGGTCTTTCTCTCTGGGCCTCAGTTTCCTCTCCTGTTACACAGGAAGGCTGTATCAGCCCCTAAGGTCCCTTCCTGGGGCTGTGTGGGAGTACCCTCTACACTTCCAAAGCACGGCCGGCCTCCCCTTCCCAGCCTGCCTGTGTCTGCGCCAGGGTCCTGGACTTGCCCCCGGGCAGCTGGCCTGGATGACAGTGCTTCTGTCACACCCCCCCACAGGCAGTGGCTGCACACACTGGGACGGGGTGAGCAGTCCTCAACCGTCTTACTTCTGAAGAACCAAAATGCCAGCATTATAAATCTGGCCGTATTTCCGCTTCCCAACTCAGTTTCAGTCTGTAAGTTATATATAAAAACACGCTTCACTTCCACTGCTATGACCAGCTGCCCCAGCCCAGTGAGTCTGTTTGAGGGCCTATGCCACCGCTTCCCACAGGACGGGCAACTTGTGCATTCAAAGTGCACACTGATAACTAAAACCGAAACGCTACCCAACAGAGCAAGAACATAGGGGAGAAAAAAAACCCATGGCATGTTTGGTTCTGCCCCCCGCCAAACACCGGGTAAACGGGGGAGCTGCAGAGGTAGTAATTCAGTCCCTTACCCAAGAACGGGGAGCTCGGGGAGCAGGCCGTTCCTGTCATTCCAGTTTCAGAAGCTCCACGTCAAAGACGAGAGTGGCATTCGGTGGGATGATGCCTGGGTGGCCAGTGGCGCCGTAGGCGTAGTCTGGGGAGATGGTCAGTTTGGCTCTCTGGCCCACACTCATCTGCGAAGAGAAGAGAAAGACTCAACTGGACGCACTCTCCAGCCGTCTCTGTTAGAAGCAGGGCTGCTTATCGGGGTGCTCAGGGGTCAGCACAGTGTGACGAGGACTCTGCTTTGGAAGAAAACACACACACAGAAAGTAACATCTAGTCTACTTTGTCCTTTCTGTATCTACACTTAGAGTCAGACATACAGAAAAACGTTTAAAAGACAAGATTTCACAAAGTAGCGTGTATAGTACGTTCCCATGTGTGTAAAAAGAGGGAACTATTTATAGATTTGTACCTTGCCTACAGAAACAGAAAACACCTTTGGGAGGACACAAATACCAGCGGCTTTTCAGGGGAAAACAGAGTACGGTGGCCAGTATGGGGGGAAAATTTTCACCTTTAAAGATACATCTGTACTTTTTCATTTCCAAATCAAAACTTAACATTAAGTAGGTTTCAATATATACTTCCTGAGCCAGGAGCAGGCTCTCTGCTCTGCCCACAGAGCACTCCCTGCGAATAAGCCTTCCAGTGCGCGCGCCCGGCTCTCTGACCCGGCCCGGGGCGCAGCGGCTGAGGATACAGCTGCAGGCCGCACTCAGGCTCTAGCACGGCTCAGAAGCCGAGCTCTCATCTCCTTTCGGAATCCAGGACGTGCTGAACCAGGGTGGTGAGAGCAGTGAGATGCACTGTGGCTTAATCTAATGGACTTTGAAACGATCACGTCTGGGGGTGCGTGGATGGCTCAGTCAGTTGAGCATCTGACTCTTGCTTTCGGCTCAGGCCATGATCCCAGCGCTGTGGGATGGACCCTGCTTGAGATCTCTCTCTCTCTCTCTCTCTCTCTCTCTCTCTCTCCCTCCCTCCCTCCCTCTGCCCCTCTCCCCAGCTTGTGCTCTCTTTCTCTCAAATAAAAAAAAATTTTTTTAAAGAAAGATCATGTCCTTTTACACAGCAATTCCACTTCCAGAATCTTCCGCTACCAACCCCGAATGCTCATTACCAGGGGAGTGGTTTCATAGGCACGTCGGCAACATGGGTCAGCCGCTGGAAAGAACACAGTGGCCTTAAATGCACTAACATGGAAAGATGGCCCAGATACAGTTCGAGGGGAAAAAGCAAGCTGCCTCAACACTGCCTGTGGCAAGACTGCGCACCTGTAAACACGTGAGCAGAACGACAGTGTCGGGAGAAAGGGAAGAGGGGCACAAGATAACCCTCCTTCTTCCTGCGCTTTTCCACTCACTCAAACAAACATCCGGGGCAGTTTCAGAGATGCTCTAAGCAGGTCCCAGACCACTCAGACTTCTCCCTGGCAGCAGAGCTGTGGGCCCAGGGGGGACTGGGCATCTCCCCAATGCCCGCCGAGGCCTCGCCAAGCCCGGGATGTAAGACAGGCTGATAACACTATCTCAGTGGCAGCGACGGCTCTTGGAACACAACACAGCTATTGTCCCAGCGCCGGAACAGCCACAGGAGATGGCCGTGGTGTGGACAATGGTTGGCACGGTCGCTGGGGGATGGGCTACGGACCGAGAGCCAGCCAGACGGGGGCAGCGGGGACAGAGATTTCTAGAGGGAAGGAGGCCTCTGGAAGGTTGGCGCTGCCAACCCTCCGCCCTGCAGGAACGGGAATCTGGGCGCTAGGGAGAGGGATGGCTTCAGGTTTCTGCAAGGTAAGCAGTTCATCTGGAGATAAATCAGGGAGATTTTCCAGAGGAAGTAGGGCAGCGCGTACTCTGGAAAAGATAAAGACGGAAATCTTTCTTTCCACTTTGGTTGCATCTCACTTCTCTCTGGCGAGAGGGACGGACACGATGAGCCGCCACGCGGGGCGGTTTACACAGCCCCCCCGGGTCTCAGGACGCTGGGACCTGGTTAGCGCCTGCTAACGGGCTCGACGGAAGGCTGGACCCCGGCTGGAACCTGGCAACCCTGGGGCCCCTGGGCCCCCTGGGAGTTCTGTCATGCCGGCAGAACAAAAGCTGTTTACACAAACGGGGAGGAAGGGCTGAGGAAATGGACTCCAGACAAACAGAATGACCTGCCCCTCCCCCCAGGGAGGGCGACCTCTCAGAAGGGGTCTGAGGCGACAGGGCCAATAAGAAGACGACTGCACACGAAGGCCACACCAAGATAACCTTCCTCACTCGGTGTGTTGTCCTGAATCCAGAAGTTGAACGACAGACACACTGCGCTGGAGGGGCCGGGAGGACACAGGCCCCTCACCGGCTTGGCAGGGTGTCAAAGGCCAGTGCACACGGCTGGTGAACCCCTCACCCCCACTCCTGAGGGTCTGCCTGCGGCAACACTTAGGCCAATGTAAAATCAAGTCCACGCGAGACTGGTCACCGCGGCACTGTGTGTGACAGCAAGACTGGTCACCGCGGCACTGTGTGTGACAGCGAAGTGCCTGACCATTGAGAGGGTACTGATCAAGCCAAGGAAGGTCCACCCACCTAAGGGAACGGGGCAGGAGAGCCTCCTCCTCTTTTTAGGCTCAGATGTATCAAGTGTGAAAGACAGATTCAGTGAAAGAAAGTGCAGAACACTGTGTCTATAGCAAAAACAAAAACAAAAACAACGAAAAACAAGTCTGGGCTTCAAGAAACTACAAAAACCGTGAGTAACAAACAGGACTTGCTGCAGTGAGGGGCCCGGCAAGACGGGGCGGATGGAAGGGAGATTTTCCACTCACACCTTTTTTGATGTTTGAACCATATGAAGGTCCTACCCACAGCGTCATTTAAGAGGCAGACACCAGGAAACAAGACGAAACAAAACAAACGAGAGCATACCTGGGCAACCCCTTCTTCCCAGCCTCGGATCACCTCCTGCTTGCCTAGCATAAACTTAAAAGGCTTGTTTCTGTCCCGGGAGGAATCAAATTTCTTGCCATCTTCAAGCATCCCTGTGGAAAAGGGCAGGTGTAACATGAGCGACAAGGCGTGACGGCGCGACCAGTCCGACGCCGGTGCTGAATGGCGCCCTCCGTGGGCCTCCTCGGAGCTGGGACGGGCCCTCCACCCGGGCCCGTGAGCGTCCTTCCCGCCTCCGAGCAGCAGGCCAAGGGCCGGGCACAGGCGGCTGGCTACCTGGTGTGGGACCAGGAAGCGTGCGCGCTCCTGACGGGGTCCCAGCAACCCCCCCACCCCCCGGGTCTGAGTCCCCTGGGCCCTGGAGGCACACACAACAGCTGAGTCACATACAGCCCAGAAGCAACGGGTTGTGGGCAGTGGGAGGCCACCAGCGGGGGGCAGAGAACCGGAGAGGAGGCGATGGAAAAGCCAGTGCAAACCTCCGCCGGTGACTTCCCGACAGCCCCGGCTGGGCTGCGGGCAGTGCTCCCACCCGGAGCGGGACCATCCATACATGGGCCCGCTCAATCCTCCGCCAGCGCTGCCCCCATTTCACAGAGGAAGGAACTGAGGCAGAGGGAAGGGGAGCGGCCTGCCCGAGTAGTAAAGCTAGACCACAAGTCCACACACCACGCTCATGTGACTACCCCGGGTCCCAGGAGACGGACAAACCACAATGGCAGCCACTATTCAAAGGGGGGGAGGGGACTGGCAGAGGTGGAGACGCCAGAGGAGAATACAGCTGCAGCCCCTCCTTCAAAAAGGACCGTCCGTGGCGGGTTCTCCGGAAGCCAGAGGGACCGCTGGGAGAGCCATCCGTCCCAGACTGGAAGGGCCAGCCAGAGCAGACTTCACTGGAGGCCAAGGGCGGGTGCCCTCCACGGCTCTAAAGCAGTGCTCACGAGACCCGGCGGAACACCAGATTCTGTTGCGTTCGGATGTTTTCAGAGGAGGAGGGAAACACACCAAATTCCCAACTTAAAAAACAATGTCAACACTCGTAAGTGGGATGGGGAAGCAGAGGGCAACTCAGAGCTTTATCAGAGTCACCAGACTGGTCGCACTTTGACAAATAGGAAATGGGCAGTGGCGGGAACGGGAACCGCTGTCCTAACGGAGCAGGAAGGCAGACAGATGTCCCAAGCGGAGCGGGTGCTGACCCCGCCGGAAGCCGAGAGCTGGGGGCTGAGGACCGTGAGGTAGAGGGGAGGACGGGGCCTCACCCCTGCCAAGTCAGGGCAGAGCCAGCAAGCTGGCTAGCAAGCTGGGGCATACGCGGAACTCCTCTCTCCACCAGAGCACAATTACCACCGAATAAAAGAAATGACAAACGGCAGGACGTGGAACAGTTTCCTATAAGGAGTAGCTGGGAGGAAAATAGGTGTCCACCCTCCCCACCCTCACTGTAGGCATTCCCTGATGAGCTCTACTGCATCCACGGAACCCAAACTAACGGAACCCTGCATCACAGGGGAGAGCTGGCAATGATTCTCCGAATCCTCTCTGACCAGGCAGACTGGCAGGAGCAGCGCGCCCAGTCAGGGCCCCGGACACATGAATGTTTATCCACAAAACAAGATTTACACGTGACAGTTACTACATGGGAGGCACTTCTCATTTTTTAGAAAAAAGCTGATTGTGACCCCCTAAATTTATGTCATGATACACTACTGGCTTGCAACTCACAGTTTAAAAGATGCAGTATACCAGGGCACCTCGATGGCTCAGTCCGTTCAGCATCTGACTCTTGACGTTGGCTCAGGTCCTGATCTTGTGGTTCGTGGTTCAAGCCCCACTTCGGGCTCTGTGCTGTCAGTGTGCAGCCAGCTTGGGATTATATCCCACCCGCCTGCCTCTCCCCCGCGTGTGCTTGCTCTCTCTCTAAATAAACAAACATTCTTTTTTTAAAATTTGTTAATGTTTTATTCATCTTTAGGAGAGAGAGAGAGACAGCGTGAGCAGGGGAGGGTCAGAGAGAGAGGGGGTCACAGACTGAAACAGGCTCCAGGCTCCGAGCTGGCAGTCAGCACAGAGCCCGACGCGGGGCTCGAACCCACCAACCGCAAGATCATGACCCAAGCGAAAGTCGGACGCTTAACCGACTAAGCCACCCAGGCGCCCCAACATTCTTAAAAATTAAAAAAATATATAGTTTACCTACAAAAGAATTAGCCTATTTCAGCCAAATATGAACATGACCTCGACCAGGACAAGATCATGTTCTGACTGCAGTGAAGAACCACAGGGTAAGGGACAGACTCCCTACACTTCCGTCTTGTGCCTGAGCAAGTACGTTGCCAAGCTACGTCCAAACGCCGCACACATCCACCTCGCTCTGCCTGCAGGTGAGATGCTTACTGTCTGAGCAGTGCCAGGCAGGACACACAAGGTGCTACCTGCTGCTGAGCTGACCTGCAGAAGTGGACGCTCTTCAGGGCAGAGACTGGGGGTCTGGGAGCATGTCTTTCTAGCCCCCAATCTCTCATTTTTCTGAGACACTGAGGGACAAAGCCTTTCCCTGCTATTTTAAGAAACCAGAAAGACCAAGAAGGATTTCTACGTAAAGGGCTGTAAGCAGGAGCTTTGCTGAAGATCCTTATTCTCCTCCCCTGATTCAGACGAGCTGTTTCTCCTGGGAAGAGGACCTGAGCCTCACTCCAGAACTTCAGACTACTGTTACTACCTGTCAATCTCACCTACTTCCATTTCCTGGAGGGAGAAATCTTCTTAAGGGTGGGTGGAGGTGTTGGTAATGGTGGGGTTCCTTAGGCCAGAGGAGGGGTTATCTTATAATCTAAGTCTGAGGGGTAAACAAGATCTCTAGAGCTAAGCAAGAGGTCACACAACTGACACAGGCTATGGGGCAGGGAGGGGTTAGTAGGAGGGCTTCCCCAACAGGGAGGAAAAGACCACCGTATATATGTCTGCAAGCTGTCAGGCCAGGTGAGGAGGTGATGTAGGGGAGGAAGCAGTGTCTGTTAAATAGGAGAAATTAACGTGCATACCCTGTTTTCTGGGGTGGGAATTAGGCTGGTCAGTGCCGAATGAGAATATGACAGAAACCGTGACATCAAAATAGCTTTGGCAAAGGTGGAGTATCAGCGATCAGATTTACCCTCCCACATAACCAAAACCAAAACAAAAACCAAAAACCAAATGAAACGCACAAAATAAAACACAAAACAAAACCTCCTTCATGAAGAGAGCAAGACACAGAGAAACAACCCAGATAACAGCTAAAACATGGCTTTAAGACTCTGAACACTGCAATAGAGGACAGCGATCCCCGAGAGATGGGACCTCAGCAAGGCGAGCCGAGCCCTATGACTGGCCAGCTTACAGCCTTGGGCGTTTCCGAGAGGGACCCGGACGGAGCTCAAGGCAGCTCGGAGTCCAAAGGACACAAACCAGGAAGGAAAGGAGTATAGAGTGAAACTTACAGCCGAATACTCATCAGCACACGTAGTTAAGGAAACTACGAAGGCCAGGAGAAGAACTACCCACAAGCTTTAGAAGGGATGGTGCCCAGTGCTTACACAGAGCTGGGATCAGTGACCATTCCACTAGCCAGATGGCTTGTGACGCACTGAGTAGGACCAGGAGGATCTCAGCTCAGTAGTGGGGAATAATCAGCCCCAACCTGAGCACTGATCCAGACCCACATAACAAATCATGAAAGCAAGACCCACGAGGATCAAACTGTTTCCAAGAAACTGAAGTGCTTCCCAGTACAAAGCTCAAGAAGATTATTTATAGGAATAAAAATACCCAGCACCTCAAGAGGTAAATTTAACAACGCCCAGCGTCCAAAGATTACCACACACACAAAAACGCAGGACAACACGACCCACAATGAAGGCACTAACCCATCAACTGAAACTAACCCAGAGCTGACAGAGACGTTGGAATTAGCAGGGAAGGACAGTAAGATCCAAACTAAACGTCCAGAGACAAAAATGACACTGGGAGGGAACAACTGGCTACCCAGAGGTAAAAACATGGACCTATGCTTCACATCACAATCACGTGTCAACCCAAAAAATCTAAACATGAAACCTATAAAACTTCTAGAAGAAAACACAGGGAAATAATCTTAGTGGCTGTGGGTTAGGCTGAGACTTCTTAGATATGAGGCCAAAAAAAGCACAATCCATAAAAGGACAAGCTGAACTTCGTCAAAACTGAAAACTTCGGCACTTTAAAACATACTTTTAAGAGAATGAAAAGTCAAGCCACAGACTGGGAGAAAATCTTTGGAAAGCGTCTATCTCATAAAGACCTTGTGCCCAGGATATGTAAAGAGCTCTCAAGACTCAACAGTAAGAAAAGAAAGAGCTCAGTTAAAAAGGGGCAAAAGATTGGGACAGATACTTCCCTGAAAAGGGGCTAATTAAAACCACCAGGAGACAGGACGACTGCTGATTAGAATGAGTACGCCTAACAAGACTGATCACAACCATGCCCTGGCGAGGATGTGGAGGAACTGGAATTCTCACGCGCTGCTGACGGGAATATCGAGTGGAAGGACCCCTGTGGAAAATGAGCCTCCCATACGACCCGGCCATTCCATTCACCCTGGCTGAACACCCAGGAGAAATGACCAACTATGTCCACACAAAAAGACGTATATACATATATCCATAGCAGCCTCGTTTGGAACAGCCAAAAACCACAACAGCCCAAACATCTGCCAACCGGTGGACAGATAAACGACATCCACACAACAGGAAACCATTCAGCAGTGGAGAAGAATGAACTACTGATACGTGGGGCAACATAATAATCTCAAGATAATTACGCTGAGCCAGGCGGGGGTACTGTACACACTGTACAACTCCATATATCGAAAACCTTAGAAAATACAAGCGCTGCTACAGAAAAGCCTACCAGTGGCTGTTGGGGAGGGAAGGAGGAGGTTTCGAAGGATCACAAAGAGACACATTAAAACTTACGAAAACCTTCAGCAAGGGCAGTTTACTGAATGTCAATTATGCCTCTACAAAACTGGGGGGTTTCTCTGAAAGGGAAAAAGTGACAAAAGTGTGCTTCACTG